ACACTATGATTAATATTAAACTTTTAGAAGAAAGATACCACTGAAAATCCGAATATTTTTATTTAAAAGTTCTCTATAAAAGTTGTACTAAAATTTATGGTGAGAATCAAAAATAGATATCAAATTTACCTCTATTTGTTTAAATTAATAAAAGCTATTTTTTGAAAGTAGGAAGCATGTCGTATGTGATACACACAAAATTCTGGTGTGAAATGTCCTTTATAGATCAATAAATTTACATATCAAAAAGTTATTCAAGTGTCCGTTTTCTAATAAATTTCTTTAAATACTAATTAAAAAGTATTTTCATTACTTCACATTTTATCAATGGTAAAATTCAAGGTCAGAGTCATTGGTCAAAGAATTCTACTGACTCTGCCCTAAATTCAAATAGTTTATACGACAATACTGGAAACTGGCAACAAGCTTCTGCTCGCCATCTAGTGGTTCAAGGAGATGACTGCGCTTTACTTCATTTGTACTGCATGTATAAGAAGTTTTTGGGTATTAACAAAGTTTTGAACTCATTATATCTCTCAATAATTAGAATGGCCAGAAGAGGTGTTATTTGCACTATGTATGGCTGTTTTAATTACAAGATACAAAGTGATTGCAAGTCATTTTACAGATTCCCAAAAAACATGGGATGGGCATGTATAAAATTACTCCATACCAAATGTAAAATATATTATCATCATTTAATATTAATTATATGAGAAATTTTCACATAGAAATGAAAAAATATGACGACAATTGCAGAATGCTGTATCCAACAAATGTGGGAAAAAGTTATCTTCAGAAATAGCACTATTTCAGAACAATTTTAACATATTTTTGTTAAGCACGTATGGAATTAACACTAAATTAATTATTTCTTAAAGAATGCAAATATTAAAGGTGTTTGTGACAATTGTATTAAATTATTGGCAAATAAATATTTCAAAGTCCTTATTAAAGCATGTGACAAAAAATAATGATTCATCTGGAAGTTTTCTGAGAACAAAAAATGCTAAATTAAAGATTTCACATATGTAATAATTGTATATCGAAATGCATTGTGCACAGTTTGATCATACATGTCATAGATAATACATGATATATTTGTGTTCAATGTGTTTTCATTTAATGTAAAAATGTTTTATTTTAAAAAATTAAATTAAAACTTCAGATTTCAATTTAAAAAATCTGACTTTTATTGCATTTGATTTGTTTTATTGCTATTATTCCTTCCTTTAAATCACTATTCATCCATGTTTCTTACTAAATAAAATTATAATTCATGTTTTAAGATAATAAAATAAAAACAAAATGATGATAAAATATTTATTTTGTTGCATTTTTGCAAGTTTTGTTAGACTTTACATAGTCTGTGGTGTTAGTGTTCTACTCAAACCACTAGATGTCACTAGTTTGTGCTGTCACCACTACTGTACATGCTAATTTACAAGAGTTTCCACTATTGTCATATAAACTATTTGCTAAAATGTCCAACTCCAACACTGATTATATCTAAATTAGTTAATTGCAAGATTCTGAAGGGGGTAATTTAGTAATTAGATTAATTAGATCAACGTAACCACTGCACTCCCCACTCAACAACTAGCCCTCCTATTTAAAGCCATCTAGTGACTCTTCAGAGTGGGTTTTGCCAAGATTCTGAAGGGGGCAATTTAGTAATTAGATTAATTAGTTAAACTAATACACAATTATTGGAGAAGTGGAAAAACCCCATTTCCTTTTTCTCATCCACTTGCGATATGCTGATAGATAAAACCGATCAGTCAACAGTCACTATGATGTTTGGACTTTAATAATCAAATGTCTTGATACCTATGATGAGAACTGTCAAACAGATGGAATTATGAGGTAAGGTGAGCCACAATAACGGCTAGAAGATATCTATAATTTGTCGATCGTCCAGTTCTTGACAGTATCAGCCAAACCCAGACACAACTCAAACTTGGAACACGTTAAATCAAATTCACCTGAGACCATTCTCACACGGGACGCGTATAAAAAGTGGTCATACCCGACAATCAGGGCACACACACTCCCAGAAGCAGGAGGACAAGCTTCCATCTGTCACTACTCTCCCATTTCTGCCAAGATGTTCCAGACATGGAAGTAAGGAAGGAGGACTAGTTACCACCCTACTGACTGCTAATCCTTGTATGGGACATAGGGGAAATGCACAACGGGATCTGGAACCATTGGTCTGAGAGGTATATTACATAAGGAAATGTAAACTCTCTCTCTTGATCAATTAGCATTTAAGAACTTAAAAGATTCAATATATGAATTGTCCTCACAAAGGTAGAGTCATGTATCTATCCATGTACTCATTGCCTTAGCTTTTAATTATTATTTGTTGACCTACTTGTCTCATTATCTTGTAGCCAGCTGACACCTAATCGATGTACCCACTGCACTCTCCACTCAACAACTAGCCCTCCTATTTAAAGCCATCTAGTGACTCTTCAGAGTGTGTTTTGCCAACCCGACACCACTCGAGGGTTAGGGATCCCTACTCACAGATTATCTCACATAATTAATTAATAGCTCTGGAAGTTAACTGTCAATGCATCTGCACAGTAAGCAAGAGTTGTTGATTCAAGTCCTACTCTGGGCCAATCTTTTCTAGAAAATGAGAAATAATAAATTCAAATTTTGAATAAGTGAATTTGAGATGGTGGCTTAACCACCTACCTCTAAGCCAAGTTGCTCTGTTTCTGATCAGTAAAGTGGCCATAGTTTAGGTCAATAAAATTCCAGCAATGTTTGAAAATTTAACTTCTCAAGTTGGTTGTTAATTTATTTATATATACATTTAAAGATTGCAATAAAATATATATTTTATCATTATACAAAATATTAATCTAAATTTGATTTATTAATGATTAAATAAAGTTGAAAAAAAATTTTCTTGTAATTACTATAAGCTTCAACATATTCTTAACTATTAGATAATTTAATTGTAAATCTTTTCCTACAATGCAAGCTTAAAGATTTGTGAAAATTAAAGACAAATTAGTCCATAAAAATTTGAGCAATGCATTGCATGAACAAGTCACAGGTCTCAAACAACTTTTTGACTTGTTTAATGTAAATTTTCATTATGTGTACATGCATTTATCAGAAAAACTTTATTAAAATTCAGTTGGACACTATAAATGCAGCAAAAAAAAAAATTATTTATAGGTTATCCATATTACAAGTTACTGTTCAAGATTTCAAATTCACATTTTTTTGTATTTTACACAAACGTGTAAAAAAATTATTTATTGAGCAATTTTGATTTATTTTATGCAATTTTGAAGTAACCAACCCTATGTTCAATATAAGTTGCAAAGCATACCATTCTCACTCTGTGCTGACTGATTTCTTTTTGTCATCTGTAAGGGAAAGGCAAGCTATTTTGGAAATATTTGACAATTATTCTTCAGTTGAGTAAAATATTTAAACATGCTTTATGCCAACATATAAGACTTTTCAAATGTAAACTTATAAATAACATCATCATAACATATATTATTTATATTGTTTTATGCAAAAAGGAAGGAAACAGAAGTTAAGGCTTTCAAATGAAAGTGTAAAATTCAACAATGAAGGCTCTCAAGCACACATTAAACAACCATTAAAGTTCAGTAACAAAAAGTTTTGTTACTGGACTTTAAAGGTTGTATAATGTGTTTCGTTCCAGTACTAAGGTAAACACAATTTTAATGAAGGCTCTGTTTCCACCTTCTACCAGACAAGGAAGGATACAAATTATTAACTATTATTGTTTTCTATTTTATTTATTGTTACTACAGCTCTATTTTTTTAACTTCTATATTGGTTCAAATTGAAAAATTTTAAAAGAAAACATTACAACTTATTTGAAACATTTACTTTATTCTAACTATACATAATGCAAACAAAATGTTTTACATAAGTAAGGAAAACAATTCACACACAAGAAAAACTGAATTATAGGAAAATCCCAACGAAAATTACAAAAAAATATACAATTGAAAACTATCCAAAAATACCAAAAATGAAAATTATACATTTTCAGAACAGTTTGGAAATAATTCATATCTTTCAGAAATTTTAAGAGTTTTTAAAGTACTTTATATTACAGATTGATATTCAAATTAATAGAAATGCAAGACTGACAAACAAAACACAGATTTGTTTAAAACTGGAATTATTCAGCCTTTCTTGTAGAGGAAATACACATTTCTCCCAACAAAATAATATATGCATTTTTTTTTTTTTTATATACATGTTAGTCTGATAGTAGTTCTTATATATATATTTTTTCCTTTTATGAAAAATATGTATTTCCATAATTTATATTATACATCAACATTGAAAGACCGAAATGCACATCTTTATCGTATCATGATAAGATGCCAAGCAATATTTGTGGATTATATACAATAGATTAGTTGTGCTTTCAGTAAAAATTGTTTAGAAACAAAATTTTGTAACAAAAAAAAAAAAAAAAAAAAAAAAAAAAAAAAAAAAAAAAAAAAAAAAAAAAAAAAAAAAAAAAAAAAAAAAAAAAAAAAAAAAAAAAAAAAAAAAAAAAAAAAAAAAAAAAAAAAAAAAAAAAAAAAAAAAAAAAAAAAAAAAAAAAAAAAAAAAAAAAAAAAAAAAAANCATTTTTTTTTTTTTTATATACATGTTAGTCTGATAGTAGTTCTTATATATATATTTTTTCCTTTTATGAAAAATATGTATTTCCATAATTTATATTATACATCACCATTGAAAGACCGAAATGCACATCTTTATCGTATCATGATAAGATGCCAAGCAATATTTGTGGATTATATACAATAGATTAGTTGTGCTTTCAGTAAAAATTGTTTAGAAACAAAATTTTGTAACAAAAAAAAAAAAAAAAAAAAAAAAAAAAGAGAGAGAGAGAGAGAGAGAGAGAGAAATTGTAATTCCAAAAAATTAAAGAAAATTCTAAAGAAATACTTTAAATTTTCAAAGTAAATACAAGAATTAATTAAATACTTTGAATAAAAAATGTTTATATTTTTAAAATCACATTTTAATAAATAAAAATATAAATTAAATAGTATAACATCTGATATAGAGGATGATGATTTTTAACTTTGTCGTTTCAAGGCAGTCAAGCATTTTTAATTTTTTTATTTTTTAGTGAAACTAGAACAACATTCCCATGCTTCAATATTAATTTCATATAAATTTTGTCTATATTTTTCATGAAAAATTTTATAACAATAACTTTATGAATTGTGGATACCTTTTCAGATGATTCTTGATAGATCAAATTGTAATTTTTCTATTACATTTTGGAAAATGCAAGAACATATAATTTAATTTTATATACATTTTTATAACAAAGCATTTGATTTAAGTGCAATCCGAATAAATTAAGCAGAAATATGCACGTAACATATTAAAGATCACATTTTTAAATGTCATTACATTAATGTATGTTTTGTTTAAGCAATAATTTACCTAACATTTTGTGTTAAGTTAAACTCTCTGAATTACTTTTTAAAGCATAATCATTACTGCAAATTATTAAGCACTTCAGCTAATAAGTCATGAATATATATATTTTTTTATGGAAAATCTTCATTATATATATATATTTTTTTTACAAGTATTGAAATTATATTTTTTTGTATTAATTCTGATAAGAAATTAGATTAAAATAATTTCTTCTTTTTATGAATTTCATAAATAATAAAATAGAGAGAGAGAAACTTAACTTGGTATGTACAAAATATGTTCTTATTTTAATTGTATAAAATTAATTATTTCTTGGCTTTTCCATAAAATCCTACACTCTTTAAAATGTTATTTAACAATTATAAAAAATTTTCAAAAACAGTAACAAATATTTTCTTTGACATTTACATTTACAACACATTCTTGCTTTGCATTTTCACATAGCCCATAAGATCTTGACAATTCTTTATATTATTTAAATTTACGTGATATGAATGTATTATACAAACATTTGTATAAATAAATAAAATAATGTATTAGATACAACATTCAATGCAAATCGGCATGATTCACGCAATGAGACCGTTAAAATAAGATGAAATTAAAATCTTTCTAAAAAGGAAATAAAAGAATAGAGAAAGAAATGATTTTAAGGAATTTGTATTTGTTTATAAAATTATTTTTGTCTAACTTCTTTCTTTTTCTTAAAAAAACAGCAACACCTATAAATAAAAATTATTATTATTTTATCGTATCAAAGATTTTTAATGAAACAATACAAATTGCTATTCATAAATTAAACAACAAACTTCATAATTGTAAAAGCCTTACCGTCCTTAAATTTTAATATTTTATTGTTAACTGTCTACATGGACTTTACTTATTAATAGGACTTTATACTGAAAAAAATAATTTATTTAAAAGATATTTATATCATAGGTCAGATAAAAAATTAGATTTAATGGAAGAAAAAGAAATTGTGTATTCATTCAATTGCAGCTGTGATCCAGTCAAAACTTATATAGGAGAAACAAAAAGAAAATTGAGCACAAGAATAAAAGAGCNTTTTTTTTTTTTTTTTTTTTTTTTTTTTTTTTTTTTTTTTTTTTTTTTTTTTTTTTTTTTTTTTTTTTTTTTTTTTTTTTTTTTTTTTTTTTTTTTTTTTTTTTTTTTTTTTTTTTTTTTTTTTTTTTTTTTTTTTTTTTTTTTTTTTTTTTTTTTTTTTTTTTTTTTTTTTTTTTTTTTTTTTTTTTTTTTTTTTTTTTTTTTTTTTTTTTTTTTTTTTTTTTTTTTTTTTTTTTTTTTTTTTTTTTTTTTTTTTTTTTTTTTTTTTTTTTTTTTTTTTTTTTTTTTTTTTTTTTTTTTTTTTTTTTTTTTTTTTTTTTTTTTTTTTTTTTTTTTTTTTTTTTTTTTTTTTTTTTTTTTTTTTTTTTTTTTTTTTTTTTTTTTTTTTTTTTTTTTTTTTTTTTTTTTTTTTTTTTTTTTTTTTTTTTTTTTTTTTTTTTTTTTTTTTTTTTTTTTTTTTTTTTTTTTTTTTTTTTTTTTTTTTTTTTTTTTTTTTTTTTTTTTTTTTTTTTTTTTTTTTTTTTTTTTTTTTTTTTTTTTTTTTTTTTTTTTTTTTTTTTTTTTTTTTTTTTTTTTTTTTTTTTTTTTTTTTTTTTTTTTTTTTTTTTTTTTTTTTTTTTTTTTTTTTTTTTTTTTTTTTTTTTTTTTTTTTTTTTTTTTTTTTTTTTTTTTTTTTTTTTTTTTTTTTTTTTTTTTTTTTTTTTTTTTTTTTTTTTTTTTTTTTTTTTTTTTTTTTTTTTTTTTTTTTTTTTTTTTTTTTTTTTTTTTTTTTTTTTTTTTTTTTTTTTTTTTTTTTTTTTTTTTTTTTTTTTTTTTTTTTTTTTTTTTTTTTTTTTTTTTTTTTTTTTTTTTTTTTTTTTTTTTTTTTTTTTTTTTTTTTTTTTTTTTTTTTTTTTTTTTTTTTTTTTTTTTTTTTTTTTTTTTTTTTTTTTTTTTTTTTTTTTTTTTTTTTTTTTTTTTTTTTTTTTTTTTTTTTTTTTTTTTTTTTTTTTTTTTTTTTTTTTTTTTTTTTTTTTTTTTTTTTTTTTTTTTTTTTTTTTTTTTTTTTTTTTTTTTTTTTTTTTTTTTTTTTTTTTTTTTTTTTTTTTTTTTTTTTTTTTTTTTTTTTTTTTTTTTTTTTTTTTTTTTTTTTTTTTTTTTTTTTTTTTTTTTTTTTTTTTTTTTTTTTTTTTTTTTTTTTTTTTTTTTTTTTTTTTTTTTTTTTTTTTTTTTTTTTTTTTTTTTTTTTTTTTTTTTTTTTTTTTTTTTTTTTTTTTTTTTTTTTTTTTTTTTTTTTTTTTTTTTTTTTTTTTTTTTTTTTTTTTTTTTTTTTTTTTTTTTTTTTTTTTTTTTTTTTTTTTTTTTTTTTTTTTTTTTTTTTTTTTTTTTTTTTTTTTTTTTTTTTTTTTTTTTTTTTTTTTTTTTTTTTTTTTTTTTTTTTTTTTTTTTTTTTTTTTTTTTTTTTTTTTTTTTTTTTTTTTTTTTTTTTTTTTTTTTTTTTTTTTTTTTTTTTTTTTTTTTTTTTTTTTTTTTTTTTTTTTTTTTTTTTTTTTTTTTTTTTTTTTTTTTTTTTTTTTTTTTTTTTTTTTTTTTTTTTTTTTTTTTTTTTTTTTTTTTTTTTTTTTTTTTTTTTTTTTTTTTTTTTTTTTTTTTTTTTTTTTTTTTTTTTTTTTTTTTTTTTTTTTTTTTTTTTTTTTTTTTTTTTTTTTTTTTTTTTTTTTTTTTTTTTTTTTTTTTTTTTTTTTTTTTTTTTTTTTTTTTTTTTTTTTTTTTTTTTTTTTTTTTTTTTTTTTTTTTTTTTTTTTTTTTTTTTTTTTTTTTTTTTTTTTTTTTTTTTTTTTTTTTTTTTTTTTTTTTTTTTTTTTTTTTTTTTTTTTTTTTTTTTTTTTTTTTTTTTTTTTTTTTTTTTTTTTTTTTTTTTTTTTTTTTTTTTTTTTTTTTTTTTTTTTTTTTTTTTTTTTTTTTTTTTTTTTTTTTTTTTTTTTTTTTTTTTTTTTTTTTTTTTTTTTTTTTTTTTTTTTTTTTTTTTTTTTTTTTTTTTTTTTTTTTTTTTTTTTTTTTTTTTTTTTTTTTTTTTTTTTTTTTTTTTTTTTTTTTTTTTTTTTTTTTTTTTTTTTTTTTTTTTTTTTTTTTTTTTTTTTTTTTTTTTTTTTTTTTTTTTTTTTTTTTTTTTTTTTTTTTTTTTTTTTTTTTTTTTTTTTTTTTTTTTTTTTTTTTTTTTTTTTTTTTTTTTTTTTTTTTTTTTTTTTTTTTTTTTTTTTTTTTTTTTTTTTTTTTTTTTTTTTTTTTTTTTTTTTTTTTTTTTTTTTTTTTTTTTTTTTTTTTTTTTTTTTTTTTTTTTTTTTTTTTTTTTTTTTTTTTTTTTTTTTTTTTTTTTTTTTTTTTTTTTTTTTTTTTTTTTTTTTTTTTTTTTTTTTTTTTTTTTTTTTTTTTTTTTTTTTTTTTTTTTTTTTTTTTTTTTTTTTTTTTTTTTTTTTTTTTTTTTTTTTTTTTTTTTTTTTTTTTTTTTTTTTTTTTTTTTTTTTTTTTTTTTTTTTTTTTTTTTTTTTTTTTTTTTTTTTTTTTTTTTTTTTTTTTTTTTTTTTTTTTTTTTTTTTTTTTTTTTTTTTTTTTTTTTTTTTTTTTTTTTTTTTTTTTTTTTTTTTTTTTTTTTTTTTTTTTTTTTTTTTTTTTTTTTTTTTTTTTTTTTTTTTTTTTTTTTTTTTTTTTTTTTTTTTTTTTTTTTTTTTTTTTTTTTTTTTTTTTTTTTTTTTTTTTTTTTTTTTTTTTTTTTTTTTTTTTTTTTTTTTTTTTTTTTTTTTTTTTTTTTTTTTTTTTTTTTTTTTTTTTTTTTTTTTTTTTTTTTTTTTTTTTTTTTTTTTTTTTTTTTTTTTTTTTTTTTTTTTTTTTTTTTTTTTTTTTTTTTTTTTTTTTTTTTTTTTTTTTTTTTTTTTTTTTTTTTTTTTTTTTTTTTTTTTTTTTTTTTTTTTTTTTTTTTTTTTTTTTTTTTTTTTTTTTTTTTTTTTTTTTTTTTTTTTTTTTTTTTTTTTTTTTTTTTTTTTTTTTTTTTTTTTTTTTTTTTTTTTTTTTTTTTTTTTTTTTTTTTTTTTTTTTTTTTTTTTTTTTTTTTTTTTTTTTTTTTTTTTTTTTTTTTTTTTTTTTTTTTTTTTTTTTTTTTTTTTTTTTTTTTTTTTTTTTTTTTTTTTTTTTTTTTTTTTTTTTTTTTTTTTTTTTTTTTTTTTTTTTTTTTTTTTTTTTTTTTTTTTTTTTTTTTTTTTTTTTTTTTTTTTTTTTTTTTTTTTTTTTTTTTTTTTTTTTTTTTTTTTTTTTTTTTTTTTTTTTTTTTTTTTTTTTTTTTTTTTTTTTTTTTTTTTTTTTTTTTTTTTTTTTTTTTTTTTTTTTTTTTTTTTTTTTTTTTTTTTTTTTTTTTTTTTTTTTTTTTTTTTTTTTTTTTTTTTTTTTTTTTTTTTTTTTTTTTTTTTTTTTTTTTTTTTTTTTTTTTTTTTTTTTTTTTTTTTTTTTTTTTTTTTTTTTTTTTTTTTTTTTTTTTTTTTTTTTTTTTTTTTTTTTTTTTTTTTTTTTTTTTTTTTTTTTTTTTTTTTTTTTTTTTTTTTTTTTTTTTTTTTTTTTTTTTTTTTTTTTTTTTTTTTTTTTTTTTTTTTTTTTTTTTTTTTTTTTTTTTTTTTTTTTTTTTTTTTTTTTTTTTTTTTTTTTTTTTTTTTTTTTTTTTTTTTTTTTTTTTTTTTTTTTTTTTTTTTTTTTTTTTTTTTTTTTTTTTTTTTTTTTTTTTTTTTTTTTTTTTTTTTTTTTTTTTTTTTTTTTTTTTTTTTTTTTTTTTTTTTTTTTTTTTTTTTTTTTTTTTTTTTTTTTTTTTTTTTTTTTTTTTTTTTTTTTTTTTTTTTTTTTTTTTTTTTTTTTTTTTTTTTTTTTTTTTTTTTTTTTTTTTTTTTTTTTTTTTTTTTTTTTTTTTTTTTTTTTTTTTTTTTTTTTTTTTTTTTTTTTTTTTTTTTTTTTTTTTTTTTTTTTTTTTTTTTTTTTTTTTTTTTTTTTTTTTTTTTTTTTTTTTTTTTTTTTTTTTTTTTTTTTTTTTTTTTTTTTTTTTTTTTTTTTTTTTTTTTTTTTTTTTTTTTTTTTTTTTTTTTTTTTTTTTTTTTTTTTTTTTTTTTTTTTTTTTTTTTTTTTTTTTTTTTTTTTTTTTTTTTTTTTTTTTTTTTTTTTTTTTTTTTTTTTTTTTTTTTTTTTTTTTTTTTTTTTTTTTTTTTTTTTTTTTTTTTTTTTTTTTTTTTTTTTTTTTTTTTTTTTTTTTTTTTTTTTTTTTTTTTTTTTTTTTTTTTTTTTTTTTTTTTTTTTTTTTTTTTTTTTTTTTTTTTTTTTTTTTTTTTTTTTTTTTTTTTTTTTTTTTTTTTTTTTTTTTTTTTTTTTTTTTTTTTTTTTTTTTTTTTTTTTTTTTTTTTTTTTTTTTTTTTTTTTTTTTTTTTTTTTTTTTTTTTTTTTTTTTTTTTTTTTTTTTTTTTTTTTTTTTTTTTTTTTTTTTTTTTTTTTTTTTTTTTTTTTTTTTTTTTTTTTTTTTTTTTTTTTTTTTTTTTTTTTTTTTTTTTTTTTTTTTTTTTTTTTTTTTTTTTTTTTTTTTTTTTTTTTTTTTTTTTTTTTTTTTTTTTTTTTTTTTTTTTTTTTTTTTTTTTTTTTTTTTTTTTTTTTT